GCCATTGTCTCATTTAAAGAGCACTTACTGGATCATAAAAGTAGTCTGTCTCTTTTCATGCCTGCCTCACAATGCACCCGTTACTGTTAATGTATCAATCAGTCTTTCTACTACTTTGAATCATCAGGGTCACATGGGCGGCAACACCCACATACCTAGCATTATAATTGCGCCTTGGACTAAGAAATGCAGAGCTCCAAGGGTTGAATCACATGTTTCTGCAGACTTTTTAGGCCTGACTTCGAATCCCACAGAATATTGTCCCTTGAAATAACTTTCTGGTGTGGAAAGGTAAAGGGGTATAAACTTTTATGCATCAATAAAATTCCCTCTGTTAATGATGGTTATGCACTTCTGATTTGTTCAACTTGTCTTCTTGGTTGATTTTCAGTTTATAATATAAAGAATATTTAAAAAATAACCCGACTTTCTGAATGGCTTTTTCCTCTACATATGGTCACTGTCACAAGAAAAATGCTCAAGTACTTTTGATCATGCTTTTCAGGGTAAACAAAGAACTTTGGGGGTATTTTATTTTTCTTGTGACGGTGATATTGTATTTTTCTATTTTTGGTTTGCTTAAAATTTGTTGTGATTTTCGAATTGCACTGTTTATTATACGTGGTGGGGGATTTATTCATGCAGGTGTTGCATTAGATAGTGTAGTACAAGTATGTTTTCCTGTCTTTAAAACATTTTGTTTTAGAATGGGAGTAATGTTGACACTTGTGCAGAGGTTCAGGTTACTCGCAATGTACTTTTTTGAATTCCAAGCCACATTGATTACCCTGGAATGTGAGAAAACTTTTACTTTAACTTCCAGTTTCATTTTTAAAAAATTGACCTGAAAAGTTTTATCAGGGACATTATCAGAGAATTATCATAGAGGTTATTAGTTCAGTAGTTTTTCTTTCATTTGTGTACCAACCATCCATTCATTCACAGGAATGGAAAATACAGGTGACATAAGCATAAAAATGATCTCTCTTTAGGCCCTTGTTGAACCTTGATTATGGTAGAGCAAAGTTTCAAGTATAGAAATTCGTTAAAAGATTATTTTGTAGTAATTTCACTGCACTTTTTGTTTGCAATACGTGGTCTTTTTTTTTTTCTCCATGAAGTCTTGTTTCCTGATACTTTCATGTCCACAAATAAATATGTTTGAAGAGTTATATGTTGGACAAGATTGTACATAAGTGTAAAAAAAACAACACATCTGCAATTGTGTTTGTGTCTTGGTGTCATTTCTGTTGGGTCTCCTGATATAAACATACATGCAAGAGTCTACATATCTAATAAACTACTATCCATTACTTGGACCGGGTCAGTGGTTGACTTGTTTGTACTTTTCATTTCAGTCATTTCTTGTACAAATAAATAACTGAAACTGTCTTTTAATACTTTAATTTATGTTAAATTAAAGTAGTGCTGCCTGTTTAAATTGATGAGGGTTCATGTGCATATATTGGAAGATCTATATTATGAGTGTTTCTTGGAGAGGTTCCAGTAAACATTTTAGTTATAAAATTTGGGGTTTTTTTTTCTATTACTATTACTTCGTCCATGAATCTTTTTTCAGTGCCTTTTTGTCCAACATACATTGCGCATGGGATTGAACTGCCTGCTCTTTAAATAATTACACAGTGTCAAAGGGAATGTTATAATTTACTTTATAATGTACCACACCATATCCAATACCCACTCAGTTAGATCAACTTCATGTTTCTTCAAAAAAAACACCCAAAGGAATAGAAAACAAAAATACCAGCAGTTACATTACATATATTGTTACGGGCTCACGGACAGAGGAGTGCCTAAGGTGATAGTTTGAGAAATTCTCTGCAAAAAGAAAAAAAGAAAACCTAATAGCTGATGCATGCCCATGGTGACTGGGGGATAAATACTTATCAGGACTTGGATTTGAATTGTTTTGCTGTTCCTTTGGACAGAGGTGTCTTTGGTATTAAGGTCAGTTTTATCGCTTTGCATGCTGAAGACACTAGTTTTCTTCTTAAGAGGGGCAGATATTTTTTATAGAAGGGTATTTTTGTCCTTATGCTGAACAATCAGGAAACGACAGATGCAGTTTTTGGGACACATAAATAGACATAAGAGTCTTGAACATCTAGCTCTCACTGGCAAAATTGAGGGCAAGCGAGGCAGGGGAAGGCCCAGAACAACATACTTGGGGAACCTAAACAAATGGGTAACGGGGAAAGATCGGGGAAACGTGGCTTTTTTGAAAGCATCCGAGCAAAGGAATGAATGGAGAACCATGATCGCCGATGTCTGTCACAGATCTGACACTGGATGATGATGATGATGATGATGATGATGATGCTGCAAATCCTAGGTTGGCACTTTCAGGCAGTGGCAGGGTCAAACTAGCACACCTCCTGCTGACTATAATTTGTGTGTGTGTGTGTGTGTGTGTGTGTGTGGGAGAGAGAGAGAGTCTAAACTCCTTTAGGTACATCAGAATAAACAAAAGAAAGGCTTAGTCTGATTCTAACATGCACTTTTTTCAATCTCCCCCTTCCCCCTCTGAAAAAACCCATTAGGCTTTCCAGATCTCCAAAGGCATATTATATTGCCAGTGCTCTGACCAGGAGTAAAAAATTAATGAACACCAGACATTTGTGCTTGGTTTTAGGATTGCTTCTCAGTAACATCTGGCACACATTTACTGGTAGGCCTACATCATATTATTTGGATAAACGAGTTTCGAACACTCGATGAAAGATTAAATTTAGATCTAAATTTAATGGACTTACAACAGCAAGCACATGAGTGAAGCATTCCTTTATACTAGAACGGTTGTTTTGTAAATTCAGTTAACCAAATACAAAAGGGCCTTTGTTGCCTTAGTACCTTTAAATGTTCTTCTCGACTTTGTATGCAGGATTTCAGCCTCTACAGCTACTACTACTGAAAGGCTATGTGGAAATCAGCTTCTGGTATGTTTCGCACTTTTGAATACTGTTCTTGGGAAGTCCTGAATGCTTTCAAACTTTTGTCCATCAACCTCATCTTTCAAAATAGGATAACCTGAAGTACTAGAAGTAGAAGTCCTCGGGAGTCAGGTGTGTAGACTGGATGAAGAGAAAAAACTTGCATCCCTTACTCTTGTTGCATGCACAGAGTTGTGACCCTTGCTTTCTTGGGAGCTGCATTGTCATGGAGGAGCATGTATGGAAAAGAATTATGGTCTTTGGTTTTTGCTCGTCAGTGACATTTTTTAAACTGGGGCAGTAACTTTCGCTCATAGTAGGAGTCACAGTGGTTTTGTGTGGGTATGATGCCAACCACAAGGACACTACTGGAATTGAAAAAGACAGTAAAAGTTAAAAGCCTCTTTCTTCTTTCTTTTTGTGTTTTAATGCGCTCGCAACTGCATAAGGTCATATTATGAGCGCACGAGACACACCAAACATTTTTAATTGGTAGGAAATTTTGAATTTTGATCGGGTGGCGGTCGAAGCCGACTCTTATCGATTTTGGACCATAAAGGGATCTTAACGAGAGCAACTTGCACACCGGACCTCCGAGATTTTTCGCCCTTGTCCGAGAAGGCTAGGTGTACATCTTTCTTACCAGAAGATCAGGGGCGTGGCTGAAAGACACCAGTAAAAAGGAGCCAAAGAGTAGCAGTAGAAAGGTTGCAGAAAAAGTCAGGATCCCAGTGGAGGGGGTGGGGGAAGAAAGTGGAGACGAAAGCAGACGACAGAATATTGCAAGAGAGAAGGAAAGAAGGTGAAAGGAGACAATTTTAGAGAAGAAAATTTTTCTGCCACTACCCAGATTCAAACAGAGGACCTTTGTAAGAGAGGTGAACACCTTAACCTCTAGGTCACAAGAGCCCCCCCCCCCCCCTTTCTTCTTTGAAATCCTGGAAGCAAAATGACAGGCATGTCTCATTTTTTAAATCTATCGTGACAAGTAATTCAGCCGTGGTGATGGAATTCTGAAAATGGGAATCTGTGTTTCCTCCCTTAAGACAAAGGCTGTAAGTCACGTGGGCCCACGGGTTCCAAATCTACTGAGCAATTTTGTGACACATTTACACTCCTTTTATATTCCTTAGTAAATGGGTTATCCAACGGGAACATACTTTTTTAACATGGAGTCCTCCACGAATAATGTTTTCAACCAAACCAAACAAAAGCCCAGACATGTCATTAAGTTCTTTTAAAGAGATATGGGGATCTTGCGCAATGTAATGCTAGGTAACATCAACGGTTTTCTCTTCACAAGGGAACTTGGGTGGCTAGAATGTGGGTTACTGCACTGTGCGTCTCCATTCAAAAAATTTTTCTTCCCAGTGATATACTGTGTCATATAAAAAAAAGCACATTCAGCACAAACACTTTGCTAATTTTCATGCTTTGTCAAGTTCAAAGTTCATACAGATGTAAAATGAAAATTTTCTTTTGTGAGCATCATCTTGTTTCCTCCAGAGCGCAAACAATCCGTAGTTTCTGATGTCATAAAAATAATCAAGAGTTAGAGAGACGTCACATGATGATGAAACTCCAATGGTTGGTTCGAGAGAAGACATGGTATAGATTAATTTGTTGCTTTTAAGGACAGCGGGCTAACCCAGATTTCAGGGGTTTCCAGAAATCTTGACCTACACCAAAAATAGGCATTGCCCTCCCTATAGGATAAGTTTGGTTTCACTGGTGTGTATTTTTTTTGGTCGTAGTGAAAACTCTCGTCTTTTAAAGAAACTTAACAAGGGTTCAAAAACTTTACCTTCGATTTTTTCAAAACAGCATTTTTCCGGATAGCCCCCTTGTGCTTAAAAGCAACCAATTAGGTGTACTGCATTTAAGACTTAAGGTAACATTTTAGCATTTGTGGCAAATTCCATTACTATCTGATCCACTCTCGCACTTGTGTCTTATATCACATCTCCCTTCACCCTGCGATGTCAATAACTGAAGAAAAGGATTTATATAAGAAGCACATTTGAACTAAATAAACTCAGAGAAACAACTGAAATATCAAAAATGAAAAAAATTTACTAGAATTTCGAAGGCAAGTACAAGCAAGTTCATCCAAAAAACAACCACTGAGAAACATGAACAACAATTTATCTTTTCCTCGGATGTACATCATACTTTTACAAGAAAAATTCATACCCACTCCTTCCTAATTCAATTTATTGCCCAAGTGCTCATTTAGCCCGAGTGGCCATGCATAGTGGATTATAATTATTATTGCTTATTAAAAAATACACAGGGCTTCACAAATCACAATCACTTATACTACTATATTATGATATTTGATATTAAACATCAGTTTCTTTTCTGTCATAGAAAGACTCAAGTCATAATTTTCATTAAAATAAAAATAAATAGCAAAATTTTCACTTTCCTTGGAGCATTTCAACATCTAGACATAAATGAGAATCAAATGATTTTGGTCAACGAGAAGCTATTTCTGTTAAGAGTGCCAGCAAATGAACACAAGTAAGAGACAGAAAGGCGGTAGATGCATTATTCATGAGAGTATTAAATTAATTTCCCCCACACACGCTGTCCCACGTCTCAGTGAGGGAGGAAAAATATTCCTTGATCCCCCACAGCATACGATGCACATGTAGCCAGCAGTAATGAGATCTGCAGTATGATTTCATGCGGCACTTAGGGAATGGGTTAATAATGTAAAAAGCAAAAGAGAAAAAAGTAATACTAGCTTTGTGTTCAATCCTCTAAAAACTAACTAGATTTCCTGCATGAACATCAGTACTTCTCACAGTTTGCTGAAGAATACTGGGTGCATTTTGAGTTACTGGTGCTCTCCTTGTATGGTTTAAGCTTATCAAGACCAGAACCTGAGGAGGACAATAAGAAAGGAATCATAAAAACCAACTTCATCATCTGTCTCCCAAGCATACAGTAAAACTCAGTTTCAATGAAGTCATCAGCTTGACATTCTTTTTGTCTTTAAAAATGTAAGTGTTTTATGCCCCCACTGACACAGTTTTAATCATTTAGAATGAGTGCTTCAACCCTCCCTGTCAGGGCCAACTCAAGATGAAATGGATACGATGTCCCAGCAAAAAGACGGATACTTAGTAAAAATTCTCCCCACATAGGATCGAGGCCTTCTGTGAGCAATAGCGAATTTCTTAAGTCCCACACCACAGACACCTTCACTTTCAGTGGCAATGAGAGCTTTTCAGATTTATAATTGCAGGCACTGAGCCAACTGTGTCAAAAGGCTGATTTGTTCAAATGCATGACTGTGTCAATTGATGTATTACTTGCAAAACAAAGTTGCAGTATGGCTTATATGGTATGTTTGGTTCCACAGACTAACAGGAAACTCATTAGGTGAAACTATGTCTATCACTCTTCAGTAGCCGGGGATAAAAAATTTATGACGGTTCTATCTGCTTCTCTTCTGACATTCCACCCCCACAATGTTCATGCTCCTCTCACTTTACATGCACACACATAACCATAGGAGTGCTGTCCACCTGTCTGATCTCTCTCAACCCCCAGAGCATGCTTAGATACATCTTATGGACATGTCAACAACACATATATATACTACAGAGGCGTCCAAAAGAAACTTGAAAATGTAATCACCCAATCATGTTAAAGCCTCGCATTACCCACTCATATGGCATATCAATTTAAAGTTTAATAAATTCTGCATCATCTGACACCTTAATAAATCATCTATCATAAGAAACGCCCGAGATATGGTACTCAAAACTGACTTTCAAAAATCAAGCTTTGCAACATTGTGTTAAAAGCAAAGAAACATAGAATTCTCTTCGCGCGTGTATTGAGGAGTATCAATATAAATAGAATGGACACACATTGCATCCAATGAATGGAGAATTTTGTCTCTGCAGTAAACTATATTTTGTTATTATATTTTGTCACGATAGTTTAAAACAAAATGGAAAACAGAGCAATCACAAATACCACACAAAACTTGGAAATAACATTAAATGTGCCCATTGTTAGTCTGCTTAGGAGCAATTGGTTTTCTTTAGTACATGAACCCTTTGGGCATCAACTCTTAAATTTTTGGACATAACAATGTGTCATTTTATCCAAAATGTCACAGAGAGTTGCAAACAAAGGGTCTGTTTTGGGAGTAAAGTTGCTTTTCTTTAGCTGCGGTTTCATGGGACTTCACATACCTGTAGGATTCATATCTGTGCTATTTATAGGTGACCACTTTAACATTGATTAGATCTGGTTTTCCCAAAAATTGTCGAGTGGCATTAGTACGGAGACAAAGTGCTTTGCTATGCATGGAGATGGCTACTTAAATGACACTCTGACGAAAATAAGGGTAAGAAATAACGTTCAAGCACTTGAGCGATTTTGCTTACCTGTAATAAGGTTGTGCAGATTGCAATAGTTTGTGCCATCATCCAGCACAGCATACCAAGTCTCAGAGGAACTTTTACCCTGTACAAAAAAAAACAGTATCAGAAAAGCACAATAGGGAAAAGACAAGAGACTGTTTTTATATAAGGTGCATATTAATCAGTTCTAATATAATTATACACTGGCACTTGTGACCATGTACATCAATTCATATTTTCTCAGCGAATCATGGACGAACATGATCTCTATTGCTTAATGTAAAACTTCACTTTATGCCATTATGAAAAGTGACGTAACAGAATCTTACACTTAGCAGCCAATCTGTTTTATGACGGAGCTTTATTCTCCATGTTATATTGAATGAATTGGTTGAAAAGAAGGCAACCTTAAAAAAATTGAAACAACAGTATGCTTTCCGAGAATAATTGCCAATCTCTATCTCTCTTTTCCTCTCTCCTTGTCAAGCTTTTGCCATGATCTCCACAATGAAGGCATGGAAAATGTTTTGTGCTCATATAGGATTAACAACATGCATGCTTTATTTCACATATCATACAATACTCACATTCACCAGACACAGAGAACTGTTGGGCTTGAAAACAAAAGTGAGGTCATCAGCATAATGCTTCACTGGTGTTGTGTGTTTTGCCTTGAGTATGTTGTTATCAAAGCTGACAAACTGAAAAAGAACATTAAAAAAACCCGTTACACAATAATCTATTATATAAGCATTAAAAAAAACAGCCTTTGTAGTTCTGTATTTCAATAACATTCTACAGGAACGAATACAAGTCCCTCCTGTATTCAAGAATAGCAATAGGCTGGAAGGGCCATTTTCAAGATAAAATGTTATCAACCTTAACCTATCACACTTTATAATGATACCACTTGATAACGATTTCCCACAGCTGAGCAAGAAAATAAAAATAAAACGGACACAACAGGGGACAACAAAAAATAGCAAACACATCAATGATGTCCTCCAATCAAAGGCAAAAATAATATACCTCCCTTCTCTCCCCGCCCCCCACCCGAAGAAAAACAAATGAACAGCATGGAATAAACAAGGGAAGTCAACAGGTAGATAACTGTTTTAAAAAATCAGTCTAATTCTAATGTCAAAAAAATTTTGCTTAAGGGTGAAACCATTATTAAAGTTCATTGACATATTCAATAATACATTTAATGAAAATGGAAAAGCCAGGAATGTTTGGGACCATTCCATCACTCCAAACTGACAGCCAATGATTGATTTTGGCTTAAAGGGATTTTGAGCTTGATTAAGTAATCATGAAAAGAATTATTTGAAGATAATATTAGCTCAAGGAAGGTTGACGATCAATGACATCGAATGCAAAGGTTTTACATGATCATCAACACAGTTCAGTTAATTCAAGAGGCAGGCTTCTCTGATTATGTCTATCGGAACCAATCCAGGATAAGTGGAACATGGAATCTAAGAACAAACGGAGAGGTATAGTGGTCACGGCCTCAAAGCCCAGTAATCAGGCAACAAGAAAAGTGGGTTCAGTGTCAGTCTCAGGCCAGTCAGCTTCTTTAGGCAGATTTTCAGTGGCACAACTCAGTATCTACCTGTTGACTTCCCTTGTTTATTCCATGATGAAATAATGATCTGTATGCTGAAGACACTCCAAGGAAGAGAGAAAGAGAGGCATACTTTGGAAAAAAATTAATGTGGGTTACATGTTTTGAGCGGTGTGGAGTGTTTTGGGCACAAGTGAGAACAAGAGATTAGTATTGATCCTCAACCTTCATTGAGCTAAAGTTATCTTCAAATTCTACTTATGATTTAGTAATCAAGCAAAAGTAGAACAGAGTGAATTTTTATCATGTGAGATTGTCAACTTGATTTGATTGCATGTTGAAACTATGATACAGCACCAGTTGCAATGCTGCGTCAGTGAAGGGAAAACATGAACATGAACTAGCCACTTTTTAAAAGACAATTGGATGCTCTTGACCACATGAGAGGAACAAGAGATAGTACATGTACCAATTAAAAACCAATAACATCTTCACTACATGTACGTAATTTGACCCATTTGGCAGAGCTAATGTGCATGCCGAAAAAATCATTTGTGTAAGTGTTTACATACACAGGGTGTAGATTTTATTGACCGCAGGACTTCCCCAACCCTTCTGTCCAGCTGTTGTTTCTTTATTAAGAATCACCAAGTGTAATGAGGTATAGTATCAAATCATTTCATCTGCCTGCATCTATGGTGGGGTCTTTGCTTTGGATAATTTGTGGTGCAGTTTGAAACACATCACAACTGTGTTAGCTTTATTAAACTTATCAGCAGAGCTGTTAAAGTACTTTTAAAAAGGTACTTAAGTACAAATTTTAGTACAATCTGAAATGTGTACTTAAGTACAGTAAAAGTACTTTCCTGTAAAATGTACTTGATTACAAGTACTTTTGAAAAAAGTACTTATGAGTACAATTTGAGTACTTTCCGCTAATATAATGCTAAAACACTTCAGTGCTAATGCAAAACATCATATTAAAAAACTTTATCCAGTATATTCGACAAATTAGGCCATTTATTACTAATAATGTAAACAGTATACAAAGCATTTGAATATACGCACTGAACATAGGTGGAAAAGGTCCGTGAAATAGAAGAAAAAAACCCCAACAAACAAAAAGACGCAACTAGTGAGTAAGTGATATTATGAATAAAACTTGTTTGAGCAGAGACAACGTGATCAAAATATTAGTCAGTCCAAGAGGTCGGAAAGTAGGAAAAGTATCCAAATTGGAAAATGTAGAGACAAAGTTGCCCTTAACAAACATAGAATAGATGAAAATGGCCAGCAAAGAAATGGAAAAGTGCCTTGAATTCTTCATTAACAAATCCTCAAGGAATTAAGGTAGCCTTAAGCATAAACCACAAAAAAAAAGTTAAAAAGAAATTTAGATAGCCTAAAAATTTGTTAGATATACATTGAAAACTCAGTTTCAGTTTCAATTGATTATAATAGTGGTAAGACAGATTTTGGTCACACTGAGCAGTCCACGGCGCCCACAGCAAACCAAAATACATGTAGTTTCCTAGAGTCTAGTAAGTGTAGTGTAACCAAAGATTCTCTACTACGGTAGTCTCCGCCTAAGATCCCAGTGCTCGGGAACAAGGGAAATATGGGATCTTAGCCGACGAAGCCAAGGAAGAATTAACAGTGACCCATGAACTGATGTGACCCCTGTGTGGGTTTAATGACATTTGGCGAGCAAAGAGTGGTCAACCTTTATGACCAATCACAGTTGCATGGTGGCATGAGGCATGCATATACACTCATTAGCCTATCGTGAGTCTCAAGATCTTTATATCTATGTTTATCCAGTTGCCCCTCCCCTTTACCTGTCCAAATATTTCAGCCTTCCGTCTCTGATTGAGTCCCCCCGCCTTTTTCATTACGCACCATTACGTTGTGACCACACCAATTAAAATTCAGGCTGTCTTGCAAATTCGGGAATAAGGAAAAACTGCCTTCAATGGTCTGGGAAGAGTTCACAGTTCGATGTGATCCTGCCTGGAGCGAACTTGTAAGCCATACCCACCCATCCAGTGATGTAAGTTTAGTTGGCGAGCTCAGGTGCGAGTTTGGGGTGTGATCCCGTCTGGGGCAAACATTGTACTGTTTCATTGAGTTCTACAACACTTGTGATCTCATTCACAAGAGTGGCTGATCTTTGACGCCACTGGCCGTTCTTTGATCTCAAGTTTTAACTCTTGGTTGATCGGCTATGCCCGCCCGGGTGTTTGTTCCCTTAATTATGATCAGAAATGCCTTTCATTAAGCTTCAAAAGTACTCAAAATGTACTTTAAAAATACTCAAAAGTACTTTTATAAAAAGTATCAGAGTACAGTAAAAGTACTGATTCTCAAAATGTACCGGAGTACAGTAAAAGTACCGAAAATTGTAACGTAAGTACAAGTACCGGAGTAGCCTACTTGTACTTCGTTACAACCAGCTCTGCTTATCAGTACAGTTCCTGTATTGATGATCTGGCCTTGAAGAGGGCTCCTTTGAAAGTGGAAGGTGTGGGTAAAGCAGCAAAGAAAAGTTTTTCGCCCTGAAATCAAACCTGGTTCTCAGGCAGACTGACAGTGACAGGCACATTATGGAGAATTAACATTCTGTTATACACAGGTTCTTAGACGAGCCAAAATCTTAAGCGGCGCCATTGTGCTCGGAAAAATAACTTCCCTGAGTGGGAATCAACAGAAAATAGCTTAACCATTACACACACCACAGAAGTGTGTGTGTGTGTGTGTGTGTATGTGTGTGTGTGTGTGTGTGTGTGTGTGTGTGTGTGTGTGTGTGTGAGAGAGAGAGAGAGAGAGAGAGAGACACAGAGAGAGAGAGAGAGAGAGAGAGAGAGAGAGAGACACACACACACACACAGAGAGAGAGAGAGAGAGAGACACACACAGAGAGAGAGAGAGAGAGAGAGAGAGACAGAGAGAGAGACAGACAGTCAGACAGACAGACAGACAGACAGACAGACAGACAGACAGAGAGGTGAAGCTGAAACACATTGGTGTTGTAATAACTTGAACAACCAACAAAAGCCACAAGCAAAAATCAAACATAAGGATCTGTTGATTTGAGCAGTTTGACAATTTATGGAGCTTGAGTTATGTAAAGCAAGAGCAGGGGGCTCTCATAGTCTAGACATTAGGTGTTTGCCTCTCATTCAATAGGTCCCGCGTTCAAAACCTGACAGCAATAGAAAATGTTCTTTAAAAAATTTCCTCCTTCACCTTTCCTGCTCTCTAATCAAGTTCTGCTGTCTGTTTTCGTCTCCACTTTCTAAACACCCCCCCCCCCCCCACCGGCTTCCTCTTTGCCCCCTCCTCTGGGCTCTTTTTCTGCTGCCTTTCTACAGCTACTCCTTGGCTGCTCCTTACTGCTGTCTTTCAGTTAAAGATCCCTTGGTGGTCGTAAAAGCGATAAGAGTAGGCTTTGGTTGCCACCCTGTAAAAAATTCAAAATAAATTCCTACGAAATTGAAAATGCTTAAGGTGTCCTGCACGCTCATATGAGCTTATGCAGTTGCTAGCGCTGTAAAACACTTACCTCCTCCCCCAAAGAGCTAACATTTGATTAAAGCAAAATAAACAAATCTCAGGTTACCTACTTCATATCTACATTTTTCTCCTGAGCCACATGAAGTCCCACTCCATTTTTGTATTTGAGCTTGGATGATTTGACTGACATTCTGACAGGTTGCCCCAAAAGTCCTGAGGATAAGAATAGACAGAGATATGTGCAATCCATATTGAATGTAAAAACCTGTGCAAGATTAATTCTCTTATTCATAAAACAACCTTCCTGTACTTAAAAAAAACATGATAATTAAGGTCTAGCCAAATTATTATAAGGGTATTTCAAACGAGTTTTTGAAAAAATTTAAGTCTGTAATTTGTTTTCAATCTCTGAAAGAAGCTTTTCCCCCCTCACAAATTGTATGAAAGACAGACAGATAACTGAAATGATAAGGGATCTAGGTTAGGGGCAACCATCCCCCCGACCTGGGCGGTCTCAGCATGGTGACAGAAAGGGAACGGTCACTGTTATGAAGATAAGCTGTGAATATGTTGAATAAGCAGCCCCTGGACCAACTGGCAATGCTCTTACCAGGATGGGATGAGGTGGTAGGTGGCACTACCACATCACGATATGCCCTATGAATCCACTACCAGGTGCACCATGAGGAAAAGGATCGCATTTATGAGTCCTCCCAAAGGTGGAATCCTCCCTGTACTTCAAGGGTAGGTCTCAGGATCTGGAACTGGAGTGCTGAAACTGGAGGTATTGGGCCTCAAGGCAGGCACTATCTAGGGAACCATAATACCATGTAAAACTACAAAAATGACATTTAAAGACGGTATTTGTAAATATGGCTTTAACCCTGTGAGGACCTACCAGGCAATTGCAGTGCAGAGCTGTAAACCTCAACAAAGGGGTCCACTCAAACAGAGGCTGTACTGGCCAACAGAACAACTGAGCGGGATGGCCCAGTATATATGAAATTTGATACTACACTTCAAGAGCAATGCGATCGAGATGAAGAAAAAAATATGGGCTAAACGGTACTTAAAACATTCAAAAGTGTCATCAATTGAAAATATAAGCACTTACCAGTCTATATTGCAAGATGCATGAAATGGAAATTCAAAGGGACCGCACCAGCTTGATCCAATGCAAGCACAGACAATGAGTAACACCAGAGACTTGGTCATCTTTGCACGATCTGAGGAAATAGATCCAACTGATTGCTCTCTACTTGCTCAAATGCGAAAAGTGACTTTAGACAACTTTATCTTTCCATCAATGATAACAGAACTTCGGGTTTTAAGGACTCTCTTGACTTAATCCATCAAGTACTAACACTGATAATAACTAGATCTATGCCGAGATAAAGTTTTAGCACAATAAAAGAAAAGACACTCTGACCTACATATTAAGTGCCAAGGCTGCAACAAAAAGCTAACACCTCTATACTATGGAAAATTTACCAGAGTCCACAGTTCATGTAAACCAATCACCTCATGCAGCACCACCCCAGGAGTCATCTTGTGTAACTTATTACACAAACCTGCAGCTTCTTTAGCCCTTATATTACATAGGGCAATATATGTTTTGACTACACTCATTTCTGTACTTCAGCGTGATCAATTTTCGAACATGGGGCACATTTAAATAGAATTTTTTAAAATTAGCTTTACGGTGTTGTGGTATGGGGCTGGCTGGCTTTAGTTGGGTTTGATGGGACGGATAGGCTTTGATCGGCTCAGAGGTTACTTTAGCTGGGTTTGGTGTGTGGTTGGGTGGGGTTTAGTGGGATGGGTAGACTAGTAGGGTTTTATGGCAAAGTTTAGGTGTTGTTTGGCTCAAGGCTGGCTAGATGGGGTTCAGATTGACTTTAGTGGGAGTCCGGTAGGATTAGAAGGGCTTTATTCGGCTCAAAGGTGGAATGGTTGGCCAGTGGGCCTTGGCGGACATGAGCTTTACTTGACTTGCGGGTAGTCAAAGTAATGTGTCAGTTTTGTGTGTGCTGAGTTGCATGTGTACAAGTTTGTCGATAGCCAAATCCATCACAGGAGATGTATCTCCTTGATAACGTCTTCTCAAAAACCTTATTGTCACCAGTGTCACAGACATCTTTCCTAGTCTGTGAAACGTGATGGTAAATGCAGTCGAACCTGCCTTAACGGAAACCTGCGCAAAACGGAATCCCCCCCGATATATTCCTCTTTAATCACCTGTATAAAATGAAAGACCTATCCAACGTGGAAATGGAAAGAAAAATCTGCTCCCTTCCGAGGGTTTTACCTGTCAAAGACGGAAAATGATTTGCCCACTCAGCCCTGATTTGAAACAAAACTCGCAAGTTTGGTTCAACCAGTTCTAACTTAACGCCATGCATCTGGGCGAGGAAGGGGAGTAGGGGTTCAATTTGAGGGTAGATCTTGATGCTACCCCATATATATGAGCCCTGAGCGATGAAGATGGTCAGGGTGGTGTACATGTGAAGTCTCACGAGTGCCAGTGAAAGTGCTTGAGTGGCGCTCCAGCACAGAAATTTTCATTAGTAGCCAGAAGCCCGAAGTGTGAAATTAGTTTGACCAATGCCTACTGCCCTGATCATACAGCCAGCTGAGAAAAGAGTTCCTCGAATCGTTGTTACATGACAGTGAGGGGTAGCATTGGTTGACTGAGCTAATTACACAAATGTGACCAATGGGTGGGGCTAAGGGTGGAAGCAAAGGAGATGTTCAAACGTTTCTATTTTTAATAAAAGGTCAAACAGTGGTCCTATGAAAGGCAAGCACTGGTGGTAATTGGATTAGTAAAACTGACGCAAGTCATATCAGAGAGGACAGCAGATGAGAGGTGTGAAATTTTGACCACTTATGTGACTGCTTGCCAACCTGACAAGAGACCCCTAATTTCCTTGCCTAAGACGGAATTTTTTTCTGGATCCTTGCGATTCCGTCTTACACAAGTTCGACTGTACATGGCATTTTGCACACTCCATGAAGCAGCATGCACTTTTGCACATCACTGATGTTAGCACATATGACTTACATCCATAAAGGACTAAGAATAATGTCTTCAAAATGCGCAAAGACTCGAATTAACAGCACCTCTGGTTTGGGATCTTCGCTTTGATGTCGCTTAAGTATGTTAAACAACATTTAAAACAGTTTCATTGTGTCCCTTGACTCTTTGTAAACGGGCATAAGACTTAATTTTCGGTAGGGATATATAAAACATAAATATGTTTGTGTGTGTGCGCTAAAAAAATTATATCTATTATTATTATTATTTCATAACGATTATCATCATCATTATTACTTATCAGTATTATCACCATTATCATCAAAGTATAAAAGTAAATCATGATAGGAGGAACTGTTTTCCCCACATAAACAGATACACAAAGCAACATGGGTGTCTCTAGACCAATAAACTGAAAACCAGATTGATCACATACATGTGTCAACAAGAAATTCAGGAGATCAATAGGGGATGTTAGAGTTTACAGGGGTGAAGACGTAGCTTCGGTCCATCATCTGCTCATTTCAACAATCCTACTAAAATTAAAGCAAAGGCAGGGGATTGTCAATCATAGATGCCGGTACAATGTGGGATTTCTGAGAGAGCCATAGTCAAGAGAGGAGTTTAATGTAGGAGTTTAATGTAGCAGTTGAGAACAGGTTCCAAGTGTTGGAAACACAAGGCGAGGATAGCAGCGTGGAAGAAACATGGGAGGACCACTGTGTGTCAAGAGGTACTGGGGAAGTGGAAACGTGAGCACAAGCCATGGATATCGGCCACCACTCTGAGGAAGATTTCAAGATAGAGGACAGGAAAAAGAAAAAGGATCAGGTAAACAGGAGCAAGACAAGAGCAGCCAAAGCAAAGTCCCAGGAAGAATACGCCAAAGCAATGAAGGATGTAAAAGTCAACATACGGAATGACAAAAGAAACTATGTAGATGACCTAGCACGCGAGGCAGAGGAAGCAGCAGGGGCAGGAAACATAAAAGGACTGTATGAAACCACCAAGAAACTTGCAGGCAGATACAGGAACGCGGATGTGCCAGTGAAGGATAAAGAGGGAAAGCTTCTCACAAATCAAGATGAACAGAAAGAACGCTGGAAGGAGCATTTCAAAGAGCTACTGAACAGACCAAGGCCACAAAAACAGTTTGACATTCCACCAGCAGAGATTGATCTGGAAGGTGAGTGAAGAAAAGCCTAGTTTAGAGGAGATCAAGGAGGCGATAAGACACCAGAAAGAAGGCAAGGCGGCCGGCCCAGATGGTATTCCCCCAGAAGTTCTCAGGGTGGATATCAGCATGGCGGCAGGAATTCTTCATGGAATTATAGGGAAGATATGGGACAGCAAAGAATTTCCACAGGATTGGAGAGAGGGTTTGCTTTTGAAACTATCCAAGAAAGGAGACCTGCATGGGAGTAAAAACTACAGAGGAATCATGCTCCTGTCCATTCCTGGGAAGATTTTAACTAAGTCATACCAAACTGGAAAGACTGAAGGAAGTTGTGGATGTAAAACTAAGAGAGGAGCAGGCACGATTTCGTAAAAAGAGATCAAGTACAGATCAGATTGCAACTTTGAGGATACTAGTAGAGCAGTCCACAGAGTGAAACTCTTCCCTGTACGTTAACTTTGTTGATTGCGAGAAAGCTTTTGACAGCCTAAATAGGGGGACTCAATATGGAAGCTCATGCGCCACTACGGAATACCTGACAAGTTCGTGAGATCGATCAAGAAGATGTATGAGGGAATGAGTTGCAGTGTTTTACTTGGAGGGTAGCGGACAGACTCGTTTCAAGTGAAAACAGGAGTGAGACAGGGATGCCTGTTATCTCGTTTTCTCTTTTAATTAGCAGTGGATTGAATAATGAGACAGACAACATCGGGACAACGCAAAAGCATACAGTAGACCCTTTCCAGTCAGTTGGAAGACTTGGACTTTGCCGACGACTTGGCTCTTCTTTCTCACAGTCGAGCCCAGATGCAACAGAACACAGATCGCCACAGGACCTTCTCCCATAGCATTAGACTCCATATTCACATGGATAAAACGAAAGTTCTTTGAATGAATGCAGCCGATGTTCCTATCACACTGTAAGGGGCACCATTGGCAGATGTTGAATCCCTCATCTACCTGGGAAGAGTCATCAACAAGGCAGGGGGTACAGATGAAGACATCAAGGTGCAAGAGCAGCATTCATCATCCTCAGGAATATATGGATGTCTAAGGAACTGGGATTGTACACCAAGCTGAGGATCTTCAAAACAAACGTGAAGACTGTTCTACAGTATGGTTCAGAGACATGGAGGCTCACAGCATTAGCAGCAAAGAAACTGCAGAGCTTCATAAATGGATGCCTAAGAAGGATAGTGGGGATCAAGTGGTACGATCGAGTCACAAATGCTCAACAGGAAGACATACAGGTGAAGAAATGGAAATGGATTGGACACATCCTGAGGAGATCCCCGACAAACATCATCAGACAGGCTTTGACATGGAATCCACAAGGAAAACGTAAGAAAGGAACACCAAAGATGACATGGAGGCGAGCGGTACAAGTGGAAATGGAAAAGGCGGGGACATCATGGAAACAGCTAGAAAAGGATGCATAAGACAGGCTTCCCTGGAGAAATGTTTTGTTAATGGCCTATTCTCCACTGGGAGTTAAAAAGGGCAACAGAGAGAGATAAAAGTAAATGGCTATTATTTTCGACAAAATTGAGCTTTTCGAGATTTATTTTTTCCTCAATTGAAGCATCAATAACCCAGGAAAAGATAGACGATCAATCCCAGAAGACCAAATCGATGTACCCAAAAGCTGGGCATTGCAGACTCCTGTGAACCTCGTTAGAATGATCCTGAAATATATCTAAATCAGGGGTCACCAATTCTACAGCTTATGGGTCAGATCTGGCCAGCAAAGTCAGTTTGGCTGCCCCACCGCTATACCACTGGCATTTTTTTCTTTTTCGTAATGTTTTACGGTGCTCACAACTGCATAAGGCCACATGAGCTCGCTGGACACGTACTATAAGCATTTTCAGTTTGGTAGGAATTAATTTTGAATTTTGCTTGTTGGCGGCTGAAATCAACTTTCCTTGATTTTAGGACCACCAAGAGATCTTTAATGTGCGTAACTTGCACATGGGACCTCTGAAATTTTTTTTGCTCTTATCCGAGAAGGCTAGGTGTTAGATCTTACCTACCCCAAGATCAGGGGTGTGAATGAAAGACAGCAGTAAAAAGGAGACAAGGAGTAGCAAGAGAAAGGCTGCATAAGGAGTCAGGAGCCCAGAGGAGAGGGCAAAAGAGGGGGAGGGGAGGAGGGAGAGGAGGAGGCAGAAGTTGGAAACAAAAGCAGATGACAGAACATGGTTAGAGAGCAGGAAAGGGGGTGAAAGGAAAACATTTTAGAGCCAAGACCACGAGAGCCTTTACATGGCAGTGACAACAAAAACTTTGAAGATGTGTTAGAAGCCTGCTCAGGACTTGGTCATCAAAATATTCAATCCTTTAATTGAACTCTATAATTCAAACGAAACATTTATGGTCATTTCTTTTTTTACTGCTTGGTTTGTGAAATTTGGAGTTGTGTGCACTTGGTCTGCCGTCGTAGGGGAACATGACGAATGGTCAAAATTTGTCAATTTTTTTATTTTTACATACAAACAAAGAGTATTTAATTCTGCACCCGAAGGTGACAATTTTTTTTAGTCATATCCTAATCCGTTGTTAATTAATTCAGAGTTCGTTGTTTTCCCTTACACTGGCCAACTCTGAACCAGAGCTTAGTGTAAGGGAAAACGACGAGTGGTCGATTGGTCAAGGATCACTGCTCATTCGGTGTTGTCCCTGGTCTCTGCCGTCGGGAATATAATTTGGCATGGGTGACGATAGGCAGTTGGTTTACCATTGTGTCAATATAAACATACCAGGCCTTTTACACAAGCAAACAAACCACCCCCCTGCCCAAGTATAATTTAATAGGATTATAAAAAATTATCACTTTGTGTGTGTTTCTGTCTGTCTTTACGTATTCTGACCATGCGTATTGACAAGAGCAAAGAAGCTGATGCATAAGAGTAAGAACAGAAGGGAGAGAGGAGAAAATAGACAGGAACTGGAGAAGGGGGGGGGTTAGTTTTTATAAAGTATCAAGCGAGAAATTCATAAGCACTGCATCAATGTCGCCAGACGTACTGATCCGACGTCATATTACTTTGCTGTCCAGTCATTTGACATCCCAACGATGGCTATAATGCCTCAGTACATCTAGCAAGCTGTCACTGGTCGACATCATTTTATAGAATTACCCGACAAATAAAGACACAGCTGTATGAATGTAAATTTCATTGTCCAACTTAAAAAGTGGACATATTGAGGCGACACTTAATCTAACTACAATTTTTTAATGATTTGATGTTATAATATATTTATTTTGTGGTATGAAACAGCAACTCACTGTTTCCCCATCAACTGAATCCTTTATTAAATACGACTGGTGCTGTACAAAGTAACAAAGCGTCCCATTATCTCTCTGGAGAGCGTTTTCGGAGAGTCATGTTAGATTGCTACATTTTTTTCATGAAAGTTTGATGGAGACCAAACGTTGATTCCGAATGAAACAGTTTTAAATTGAGCAGTTGAAAACATATTAGGTGCTTGGACATTGGTTATTAGTGTTTAACCAAGAGAAGAAGGGAAACGAAGCAGGCTTACACAGTTACGGTTGAGATATGGGTTATGGAAGATGAGATAATATTTTGTTAAAGACATTTTCTAAGCAATTTTATGCCTCCCAATTTTATAGAATTCAAGGATCGAGAAACTTAATTTATAGTAACTAATAGTAGTAGCCTCTTCTATTTTAGAATGGTAAATGATGAAAATTGAAAGGAAGTTATGCCTATTTGCAACGCCGCGTTGCGATTAGCGCCAACGTGCTAAATAAAACACAGTGTGTCAAATATCAAGCTTAATATCCACCTTTCGTTGTTGGAAGTTCTATGGCCTAATGGACAGCGCGTCTGCGTTTGAAGTCAAACCATTGTTTTATGAGTGTGGGATCGAATTCCGGTCCTGGAAGGTTTTTTTTCTTCTTCTCCTCTTCCCGACTGACACACAATTTTTTCCCATAATTATAAAATTATAGTTTTTTATGTAGTGATGAAGCATGTATGTCCCCAAGAGGAGCATTCTACAAAGTATAGGCCGATACTTTTCCTACCAATTTAGGCCTGGTTAAAGTTCAATAGTGGCTTATTTCCTTGAGCTATGAGTCTAATTTTTATTTTTTTAGTTTAGGCTCAGGAGATGAAAAAAAAATAAAATTTTCCGGGATCGGGATTCGATGCCACGCTTGGAATCACTATGAACATTAGAGAACGTAGACAGCTTGTATTCGTTCTCTAGGCCTATTAACGTTAGAGAATGTAGACACTACCCCCTGCTAATTAAAAAACGCCGGCGCCCGGCAGAATTACAATATTATTATGGAGAAACGATGGCTACTAGGCTTAGAACTAGACTGGCGTGGGAGTGGGAGCTATTCAGAACGCGCAGCGTTTCAAATAGCTGGGAGTTAATTGATCAGAACGCGGCGTTTCAAATAGCACGGGAGCTATTCAGAACGCGGCGTTGTAAGTCATAAATGACTAGATCTAGATTAGATTCTAGATCTAGATCTAGAATCTAGATAGCACCTACCAAATTGAAAAATAATATTATATAGACAATCTAGATTTAGAATCTAGATCTAGGCCTAACATTCATATATATTGGGAAGATTGAAGAATACCGGACCACTCGTACATTATTGCGCGAGAAAGTGGGGTAAGTGGGGAGGGTGGTTGGGGTGGAGGAGAGGGGGGGTGGGGTTCAGGGGGGTCTCCCCCCTGACAAAATTTTAATGAATAGATCTACCAGTCCGAGATTCTCCATTGAGAGATTTAAAAACGGGAAAATTATGAATTCCTATGGTTGAGACATAGGCAAAGTCAGTCCGCTGGTCCGGTATTCTTCAATCTTACCCATATACAGTCGAACCTGCCTTAACGGAAACCTGTGTAAAACGGAAACCTGTCTTAACGGAATATCCCCGCTCCCCCCTTGATATATTCATCTTTAATTACCTGTATAAAACGGAAACCTGTCCAACGCGGAAACGGAAAGAAAAATCTGCTCCCTTCCGAGGGTTTCACCTGTCTAAGACGGAAAATTCTTTGCCCGCTCAGCCCTGATTTGAAACAAAACTCGCAAGTTTGATTCCGCTGGCTCTAAACTTGATGCCATGGCCATGCCGCTGGGCGAGGAAGGGGAGTAGGGGTGCAATGGGGGTAGAGTAGAAGTAACCCTATGTTACCCCATCGTGTGAGCACTGAGCGCTACAGATGGTCAGTGTAGTGTGGGTGTGATATCTCACGACTGCCCGTGAGAGTGCTCGAGTAGCCAGCCACTAGGGAAACTTTCCTGGGTAGCTAGAAGCCAGAGGTGTGGAATAAGATTGACCAATGCCTGCCGCCCTGATCGTACGGCCTGCTGAAAAAAGAGTTCCTCGAATCGTTGTTACAATGATGACAGTGAGGGGTGGCATTGGTGGGTGGGACTAAGGGTGGAAGCAAAGGAGATGTTCAAACGTTTCTGTTTTTAATACGTCAAACAGTGGTCCTATGAAAGGCAAGCACTAGTGGTAATTGGATAAGTAAGACTGACGCATGTCACTATCAGACAGGATAGCAGCTGAGAGGTGTGAAGTTTTGACCACTGCTTGCCGATCGGACAAGCGATCCTTGATCCAACTGGCTGGGCCTTTGAACCCCCCACCCCCTAAATTCCCCTGTCTAAGACAGAATTTTTTTCCCGCTCCCTTGCGATTCCGTCTTACATAGGTTCGACTGTATTAGAACAGCTCATACCAAAGGCGATCGCTGGTGGATCTAGAATCTAGATCTAGTCGCTGTCTAGATCTAGATCTAGATCTAGTGAACGAGACTCTAGTCTCGCTGTCTAGCCTCAGCACGTTGCACATCATTACAAAATCATTATAATTTATTAGATTTATTAATCATGTCATAGTCATGCTCTCTAGATTAGAATAGTCCAATATTTATAATAGATCTGAACACAAATAAGTAAACATAGATTCTAGATAGGTGAACGTTATAGATTAGACAATATTTCCTTACTGCTTTTGTGTGGATTATGTTCTTTCGTTCTTTTACACAAATAGGAGACAGATAACCCTCTGGCTTCTTAATTTCGTGCTGTTAAGTTTTACTGTTATGTAACTTGCGTCTGGCTTCGCGAATGAAGCGTGAAGACACAGCAGATCACATGACATGTCACATGACCTAAATATGACCTGCCTCAGCCTGCCTGCGAGGAGGTCACGCTTTGGACGTCATGCAAGCAAAGCAACAACGTAGCGTTTGAAGATGGCCGACAAACAAACCGCTGGGCGTGTGATCAACACAAAGTATGAAGGATCTCACCAAAAGCTTATCTTCATTGCCTTTTGTGCTTTATTAGGAGCGATGAATTTTGGATTAGCTATTGGCTACAGCTCTCCAGCTATCCCTAGCATGATCAAACGTGGAGTTATTAAGAAGGAAGACAGCAGTTGGTTTGGATCTCTTCTTACGATCGGTGCATTGCTTGGTGGTCCGCTGGGTGGATGGCTCATCGAAAAGGCAGGGCGAAAGCTTTCTCTGACATTTTTATCGATACCGTTTGCAGCTGGATTTTTCATCATTGCTTCAGCCTCAGAAACATACCAATGCAACTTCGGTAGATTTTTAACTGGCATTGGGAGTGGAATGGTCACAGTGTGTGTCCCAATGTACATTGCTGAAATCTCCACTCCTTCCATGCGTGGCATCTTGGGTTCAAGTGTGCAACTGCTCATCACCATTGGAATAGCCGCAGCTTATATTTTGGGGTCATTTTTTGAATGGAGATGGCTTGCAAACTTATGCATTATTCCCAGTGTGCTAGGTGGGCTATTGACATTTTTCATTCCTGAAACTCCTCGGTGGCTGCTCATGAAAAACAGAAAAGCAGATGCTTTCAAAGCTCTGAGTAGTCTCAGAGATCCACACACTGATGTCAGTGAAGAATGCAAAGAAATTGAGGAAGGTTCAGATCCTGAAGAGAGTGTTTCATTTTCAGAAATGCTAATGAAAAGAGAACTGTCACATCCTATATTTTTAGTTGTTTGCATTATGATTTTTCAGCAGCTTTCTGGTATAAACGCTGTCATGTTTTATTCCATTTCAATTTTTGAAACTGCTGTCGGTGATTTTGCTTACGCTGCTACTGAAATAATTGGAATTGTCCAAATATTTGCCACTATTGTTGCTGTTTATCTCATGGACAGTGCCGGAAGAAAGAAACTTCTTCACATTGGCGGTCTTGTGATGGCCTTAACGCTCTTCTTATTTGGGCTGTATTACAAGCTGTCTAGTTCAGGTTATCTTGGACAGTCTCTTAAAACATGGTTACCAGTTTGTTGCCTTACTACTTACATAATTGGATTTTCTCTTGGTTGGGGTCCTGTCCCTGTGCTTATCATGTCAGAAATGATTCCGACTCGCTGCAAAGGTACTGCAGGATCAGTTGCAATCATTGCTTCATGGGGATCAGCTTTTATTGTAACCAGCCAGTTTGCTACTTTTCAACAGATTATGGGCAATGATGGTATTTTCTATTTCTTTAGTATTTGTTGTGCTATAGCTGTGTGGTTTGTTGGAAAATATATTCCTGAAACAAAGGGTAAATCTTTGGAGGATATTGAGATGTACTTTGCTGGGAAAGGAACTATTTTAGTATAAAAAAAGTTAATGGTGTATTTTGGTGAAAAGTTGTTTTTTTTCTTCTATTTTGACTTTTTCTTTCTCTGATGATAGAAAAACTTGTCACTGGATATGAGAGGTCTGCTCTGAAATTTGAAGTGTTGTTAGACAAAGGAATGTGACTGGGCACAACTTTTTTTTTGCAAGGCTTACATTTTTTGCGCAAAAGCCTTTAAAATATTTTAACTCACTGACTACCAGTATTTTGGCTGAAAGAAATCTCAGGGAACCAGACAAGTGAAGGGTATTTTTAGAATATCTTACACTTTTTGCTACATTCACACAAAACTTGGGTTCCATGCAAATTAGAGATATATATATATAATAAGGATTTGTTACTTTAATTAAAAAAGTAGAAACAAGCCCGAACAACTATCTATCAGAAAACTAATTTTGAAGTTTAGTATGCCTTTTTATTTTGACCCTATTTATTCCACATTATTTTTCAGACTTTGATATAATTTATAGATGTTTTTATCAATGAACATGAAGTGCCCAATAACTTGGGGTCACACCGGAACTAAAGGAATTTTATAGAGGAAAATGAACAAAAAATGAAAGAATGCATGTAGGCTACTCAATAGTCCCAGTCTGCTTTGTGTGGAAGAGGTAGAAATATTTGCCAGTACTTCTAGGAACACCAAGGGTAGACCTGTGACTCACAGATCTGCCTTCATGACTGAAAAGAATCTCAGGGATGCTGTTCAGTGTCCAGGTTAGGCTAAGTTAAAACATTCTATGTCAAAAAGTTCTGGTGGTTTGAATTAACATTTTAAACAGAATGGCAATTGTAAAAATTATTGTTTTTGTTTAGAAACTAAACCCATTGTAACAACAGATAATGTGCTCTATCAACGGTCAATAGTCAGTATATATCACAGGTGATGCAATGTGGGGGGAGGGGGGAGGGGGTTAGACCAAGAAAAATAACAAATGTTGCAATGATGGGAGTCATTGAGTTAATAAAGTATTTAACCAACACACTTTTTTAGTGCCATAATATTATCTGATTATGAATTTACTTCAGTAAGTTTTAATTTAAATGTAAATGTTCCTGCTGATACGTACATGCATCATATGTGAATCATCGTGGTGAAATCAGGCGCTCGTCAAAATAGTGAAATCAAAGAATTTGGCATTTTTCTATGACTGCAGGGGAATTTTTTTCCTAATTTTCTTTTTTTGGCACCTTTTACATCCCTTTAAAAACATATTTCTGTGTAGATTTTACTGAAAAACATTGATTAAAGGCTAAAAAAATATCACTTTTCAATTTCCAAGGATTCTCAAGCTATGGAAATTACAAAACTTTGGAGGCTATTTTCTCGCTAATTTTACCTCTGAAACCAGACAACCCTGACCTCCTTCAATCGCAAATATTTCGACTTCTATTCAACATAGATGGATATTTTTTTCACCACAAGCAAGGCAAATGAACAGATATGATACCAATCACCACATATTCCCAAAAATTGACGAGCACCTTATTCCACCACGTCACGACACATATTATTTATGTAGGATTAGGAAGTGTCTTCCGATACCAGGATCCTGGTCCACAGATACACATGGTCTAGGGGGACCATGAAAATATTTTGCTTTGCGTATGCGTGACCTCATGAGTCATTTCCTTCTGCTTCCAGCTGTCATTTCGTTTTCCCAAATGGCAGGGACGGTCGCATCGTTGCTCGTTGGACAATATTTTGAAGAATAGCTTAAAAATGTACTCACTCACTCACGCATGCACGCAGAACATGCCTGAGCATGCACATTATTATTGTCCTATTCATTTTTCTCTAAATCGCTCCCTTTGTATCATGTACACTTATTCGTCTCTCTTTCTCTCACGCTCTGCCCCCCCCCCCCCCACACGCCCTTTTCTCTCTCCCTCTCTCTCTCCGTCTCTTTCTTTCTTTCTCACTTCCTTTCTCTCTCTCTCTTCCTTTCTCTCTCTCTCTCTCTCTCTCTCTCTCTCTCTCTCTCTCTCTCTCTCTCTCTCTCTCTCTCTCTCTCTCTCAAAATAACCCACCCAGGTTTTGAATGAAAAGATCGCAATGTTAATCTCCGTGGACCAAAATCCTGGTCCCCCTAGACACGCAGTCTTCGTGGACCAAAATCCTGGTCCCCCTAGACTCTACCGCATACATATATATATATATATTTTAGCAATTTGTCATTACAATGATCTTTTCTTATTTTATAAGAAGTTTACTTTTCAAATCATTGGTTTACATTCCTCTTTTGTTTTATTGCGTTTCTACCACAGTCCTTAGATTTTTGCTTTTCTGTTTGCAGTGATTTGTTTGCCTTTTTTAAATTCAGACTTAGCATAATTCATAATATGTATCCAAATAACTTTACAATTTTTGTTTTAATTACGGTATTGAATTGTCCATGTCGCTATCAATGTTTTTAACACTTTGCCCCCTTGGGATGCTATATCAATGACAGTAAGTCTCTTTCTCCCTAGTTGGCAGCTCCCTAAATCCATCTGCTGTACTCAATATACATGTATAGTGTGCACATTCTTTTTTAAAAGTGTACTGAATTATGATATTTTTGTAACAGTATATTTCTGTTTTTGTGTCTTGTGAGTCTGGTACTAATATGAAATGTTGCAATTCATCTTTAATTTTTCAGTGAAATTGAAATTTGGTTTTTTGCCTAAAGGCATGATTATTTGAGAAGTCAAACAGTTTGTGCGTTATGCTCTTTTTCATGAAGTTTGTTTTAAAAGCATGTATATGGACTGTTCTGAAGAGCTTTTGCTTCCTTTTCACCAGTTGATTGACACTCAAAAAATCTAAAAAGAAAGTAAAAGTGTTTTCTGTTTGGCATTTAATTGCTCAATAGGACTGTGCATTTTATTCTCTTTGTAAGTTTGGTGAGTGCTAAAATACTGTATTCACTGAACACTCAAGATTATTGACTGCAGTGAACAAAATGATGTTAAGTTGTTCATTATCATTCATCTACATGTACTAAGTACAGTCAAATCTGTGTAACAAGAGGGAATTGCCAGGGAGCCAGAAAAAAAATTCCATCTTGGAAATTTTCCTTCTTAGACAGTGGAAATTAGGAGGGGGGAGATGGATGGGGGGTTCAAAGGTCCAGGCGGTGGGATCACGGGCTGCTTATCCGATCAGCAAGCAGTGGTAAAAAAACTTCACACCTCTCAAGTGCTATCCTCTCTTGTAATAACATGCATCAGTCCTACTCTTCCATTGCCACCAGTGCTTGCTTTTCATAGGACCACTGTTTGGCGTTTGAACATCTCTTTTGCTTCCACCCTTTACACACCTACCCATAGGTGTAATAAACACAGTCAACCAGTGCAACCCCTCCCGTGCATGTAACAATAATTTGAAGAACTCTTTTTCTTAGCTGGCGATGTGATCAGGGCAGCAGACATTGGTCAAGCTAATTTCAAACTTCTAGCTGCTAAGTGCTCATACATGGATATGGGGTGACATTTTGTCTACCCCAAAATTGCACCCCTACTCCTCTTTCTTGCTTGGTGGCATGGCATTAAGGTTAGAGCCAATAGAATCAAACTTGATAATTTTGTTTGAGTTTGAAAACAGGGTTGAGTGGGCAAAGCACTCTCCGTCCTAAATGTAAAAACCCTCTGAAGGGAGGGATTGGATTATCTCTTGTGAACAATTGGAAAAAATTCAATTTTGAACAGAATGAGGGGGGGGGTAAGTAAAGTATGAAAAGGAATGGCTATTTTCTTCCTTTTTTTCAGATTATTGAGAATTTATAGATGTCCCAGATTTGCGATTTAGACTTCTTAGGTGGTGACTTTGTTTTTGTGTTGTGTTCGAGTTTTGTAATATTTGGTTTTATTTTATTCATAGTGGCTTCTTCATCTTTTTGTTTTTACAATTGGGTGCCTGGCCATTTTTAAGTAGTATTGCCTGACAAATGAGTGTTTTTAAATTCACAAATATATTTTGAGTTACATTATTTTTTTTATAAAAGTGAATATATCTTGTTCAGGTAATAGCAATCGTATCATGTAACATGTTTTCAGTCGTTGTATTTTGCTCTTTTATGTCCGACTAGTTGAATTAGAATATTTTTCAATCCTTATAAAATCTTATCCCCTTGAAGCTGTCTTATAGACGTAGTTATGCACATATTTTGTATCGCAATGTTAGGAATAGGTTTCCTTGAGCCCCTTTTATTGTTGTTGTTAACTCACTCCTGAGAACCGGGTTTGATTTTGAAACCTACTTCTTTTGAGCCAGCTTTTTCAGTTTGTTCTCAAAGGCCTTAATGATCGGGTTAAGTACTTTGTGATAATATTTTGGTCTTTGCACTACTGAGCAAATACATTATAAATTATAATATTATCTATAAGCACTTTGACTAATGTTCCTGTTTTGTTGTCAAACAGTTTTCATTCCATGTGTGTGGGAGTGTTTATTTGACATTGAGAGGTATACTATATATTATGTATATTATATCAAAACCCCAGAATTGCGTGATAAATATTTTGTCGTCAAGAAGCAATTCTCTATAGCTATGATAACCATATTAAAGGGTATTTGAATTTTCTTATATTTGGTATAGATCTAGTTTTATGTGATGCTGAAGCTGACTCAGCTACTTTTGGAACTTTTTCTCGACTCTAAGTTGATTTGGTTCTGGTGTGATGATGCTGTGAAGCTCCATGAAAATGAAATGATTGACTGTAGTATGGTGTCAGTTACTCAACCTTTCTTTATTTTATTACTTTGTTATTAGGGATCTGTTATCTAATTTTTTGTGCATATCAAACCAGCTATGTGGCTCTTCCTTTGTCATTCTTATACCTGACAACCGCTGATTTATACCTTTGTATTTGTTATTAGTCGGAATCATAATGTAATATAATGGTTTATAATGTCATCTGCAGTTGTGTTCGTGTGTGGTTTGGAAATTGAAGGTGTAATTATTGTCTTCGGGTTCTTCATATATGTTTTTTTTAGGAGGGGGGGGCTTCAAATCTGGTTGCATTTTACTCTGTATCAGCTTTATCTCTAGATGGCTTGTAACAGGTCTGTGCTGCATGTTACAGAAATTGAAACATATGTATATACCAAGTGACCCCAAAAAACCTTTATCCACAGAGACATCCATAAAAACGGTTAAAATAGAGATAGAAACACAAGATTTCGCATACGCACTTGTTCACATCCGGATTTATTATGACAAATTTTCAATGGAAGTTAGAGCACTTGCTCCATGTGATGTCCGTTTTGGACCATACACACTCTAAGCGCTTGATGGAATTACACTCTGACATTTTCCATTTACTGAGCCTTTGATGTAGGCCTACCTGGATCTTGTATGGTTTAAACTTCAGATTGTACTTCAACATACAATGAACAGATTCTCTAGCAATTGTTATTACAATAAAAATAAAATGACAATGAACTGACCTTTAGGTTCTTCGCTCACAGACTCCCCCACCCCTGCCACCTTCTCAACAGTGCGCGCTTGCTTCGATCTCCCACTGTGGGTGACCCAAGTTTTTGATCTCTTGTTTTTATTTTCATCAGAGCCATGTGATTTGAAGTCAGCCACCCACATAGGTATTGTTACTTTACTTGGTATATTACGGTCTTTGGGGCTGATTCCAAACCATTTACAGAAGAAATTCCGGGTCTGCATAGGGGACTTTGTTTCAATATAATAATGTTCCAACCATAATAAATACTTTGTTCAACTGTGAACTGTATCTTCGGAGCTGCCATGGCTGCTTCCAAAATACTGTTGTTTTTGTAATGTGTTTCTTCTTCTGCATGGTTCAGCTTGCTTCCTGTCAATTTTTGTGTGAGTTTTGCGCTTTGTTGGAGAGTTATATAGACTTTCCCCGTGGGTAAAGGTTTTTTTTGGTCTGTAGGTATAAGGCGGCCCAAAATAAGATTTTATTTTCTGTTCATGTAGTTGAAAAAGATGTGAGTATTCATTTTTTCCCCCATGACACGAGCTACACTTCACGACTTCTGTGCTTAATTGTCGTATCTCCATTTTTTAAAACAGTGAAAATGTGACATCTTCTTAAGCTCACTCTTTGTTATGAACTGTTTTCACTGTTATTAAAAATGGAGATATGACAAGAAAGCACTGGGGTTGCAACTTGGTAGCTGGGAATTGAAGCAATTGAATTATATTCCTCACGTTCATTGCGGAACACCATTAATCCATCTTGTATTGGCTTTAAAATGGACTGCGCAAATTTTCTTATTGTGTTGAAACGTTTAACCGTCCCTGAAGGTGTAATAAGGAGACTAGACTCGGAAGGTAGAATTTGTTTAGTTTTCATCTTCTTTAACTTTTCTGTATCAAGTTCTATCACTTTGTTTAACTTCGTTTGCATCTTCATCAGTGCATTTCATTGCTGTAGTTTATGAATTGTAAAAGCTGTTATTTTTTAAAAATGTGGATTAGGGAGAGTGCAGACAATTCTTTTTGGCCATCATTTTTCCTCTCTTACCATTGTGGGTGTTTGGCAGGTGTTACAGGCCTACTTCTCTTACAGTGTTGCAATTATCAGTCTAGTTACATACTGGTATTTCTATATGCATTTTGTCGGGGTTATGATGTGACATGTGACAGTTGTTTGGGTATATTTCTACTTTTTTGACAAAGTCTGAATTCTGTGTTGGGTGTCACAAGTTTATTTTTGTTTTCATGAGCGCTTAATTATCTCTTGCCTATCTACCAGTGACTGGTGTAGTGGTTATGTGCTTCACTGTTGCTTGCAGGAGACATGAGTTCAATTCCCAAGTGGGAAGAAACTTTTACTGAGTGTTTCAGTCCTTCTGTTAGGATGCTGTATCCCTCTCAGCCTCGGTTGGCCATGATAAGTAGGGTCGGAAGCCCACCTCCTAAATGATCTGAATTGTGTCGAGGGGCCAAAAAATCACCTACGTTAAAAATTGATTAAAAAATCTTGCCTATATCTATATATCTATCCAAACATACTGTGAACTTAATGATTCATGTTTTACATTTACACAACCGCAAACTGTGGTGCTTGTTTCTGGTAATCTTTCATTTTGAAGATTGCAGTGTTATTAATCTTTGGCTTTGTCATGTTCACAGTTACAGTGATAACCTGTTGGTTTTCTTTAGTGTGTCATGGTTTTGGCTTAACTTTTTTGAATAAAGGGAAATATAAAGGTTCTTGTTTCTTTTGGGTTTTTTTCTGACAGAATGATTAAATTTACTTCTGATCAGATTTGTTTCAATTGACTATCATGTATTAGGCAGGTTAGAAGAACCCCAGGAAGTGGCTGAAACTTTGGTTTATGGCCGAGGCATCAAAGTGATGAGTTCATATTGGAGCAAGCTGAATAGATTGTCCTGTTTGTTGTTATTTTTGTTTCATCCCAGCTGGGTATCCTCATTGAGGACTGAAAATTCCACCCTTGAAGCAATTTTTATTGTGTTTAATTTTAATGGAGTGTGAAACTTGATGAAACCTTTGAGCCCTAGGCGCCTGACCCTAATTTTATCCAAATCCTGACATCCTGAGGTTCCAAGTTCAGGGAGAGAGTACTTCAGTAAATCAGTGTATAGAAGATGATCAAAACATATAAATGGCTTGTTTACAGAAACTAGTGCTCTGATTTTTTCTGCTTGATAATGTTGCACTTGTTCTTCACACTGATGAACGTGTGCTACAGATGATTGTTGTCAAGGTGCGCCTTCATTGTAAGGGGATTAAGAGGTTAATGAAACTATAGTTATAAACAAACTAAATTTCGTCTTACTCATTTCAAGATTCTGTTTTTGTAAAAAGCATAGTGCCAGACCACAAAAATGAGACAACCTGAAGATTCACCAAGGTGTCTTGTTTGTGATCTGGTAAAGCTCATTTAATGTCAGCAAATCTTGATACTGGGTAGTTAAAAAGAATGAAAAAAATGGGATAATTTTGCGTTATCCAGTGGAACTCGGATGCAACGAGGTCGCTGGGCCTGACCTAAAATCTTGTTGAATCCGAGTGTTCGTTATAATAGCAAACACGAGGTTTTGTGTAGATAATTACAGGCACTGAACAAGTAATGTATAAAGAGAAGTCACAAGTAGTGCCTGAAATGCCTGCATATTATGAGCCGCGTAAAAAAAAAGACCGATTCGTTCAAATGCACACATCTGTGTAATCTCGATTGTTTACCAAAAACTTGTGTTGCTGTGTAAAGCCTAGCATACGGCAACTTTTGACTCCATAGACCAGCGTACACTTCATTTATGTAGATCTACGTCAAGACTAGCTTATCATTGTAATAACGATCAGTTGCCGAGGGAAAAAAAAAGACTGTGACGCGTTTTTATCTGCGACATTCCATGCCCGGACGGTAGTACCCCCCCCCCCAATCCAACCCCGACACGCGTCAGAGTAGACACGTGCGCGTGCCAACAACGCATGTGTTGGTTTGAAAAAAGGCGGCTGACTGGTCGCATGCAATCGACAAGTGAATAATGGTTCACGATGCAGAAGCAATGGATGGTTTACCCGGAATAGATAAAGTTCGTTTTGGGAGAAAAATGAGCAAAGCTACGTCCGCACTGGCTGTTCTCCGTGGAAGCGACCTCGTTGAATCCGAAGTAGCTGATTTAAGTGCTCGTTGAATCCGGGTTATTTTTATTGATTTTAAAGAAGAAAATAAACGGGGAATCAATCCTCGTTGAATCCGAGCTCGTTGAATCCGAGTTCCACTCTATCTTCTGTCCCTCTGATATTTATGAGTACAATTTTTTCCCCACCTTTGTATTGACTTTGCTGGCGGTAATTGCTTCTTTGATTCTTGATCACAATCAAACAATGTCAAGTCCAAAACTTTTGCAGCGTATTTCTTTAGTTTGTACCCAAACTATATATTTTTGACTGTTGAGGGTTAAAACTGACTATATCACCATCTGAAAGTTTGAAACAGCATTTTTCTATGTTTAGCAAGATTTATAGGGTCACTAAGAAAGCTAGTTAACACCACACATCCATAAAATGGGTGGTCTGGCGACACACATTTGAAAAGTGTAGTGTGGAAGGGAAAGAATGATATATGACAACTAGTTGTCTGCTGAAGCCAAGAAGTTTAATTTCTAGACATAACACAAAATTGTAAGGTATTTTCAATCAAGCTATTGCACTATCCTTTTGAATACATTCTCTTCAAAACCATTGTAGATCCATTTAAAGACTAAACATTCCGTGATTATGTCTGCAAGGATAGATATATATAAGTATCACAGACATTGATTTATAGTCTATTTCTCTTAAAAACATTTTCATACAATGGATTTTGCATTCCCTGAACCATTAAGATGTGGGAGGTTATGCAATTCCATAAAGTATCAGATGTGTGTCAATGGGTTAAAAGATCATATTGTTGGCAAGCTGTTCAATTGTTAAAAGCTAAGAAAGCAAACATTTTTAAGAGAGAAAAAAATTGCTTCATTTTCATTCTTTTGAAAATTGTAAAAAAATTATATATCTTTTCTTGCATTTTTCAACAGCGAGACTTGGGCGCGAACTTGTCTTAGCGCGTGAGGCCCATGATACGAGTGTAAACAAATGTTCCAGCACTGAGTTGAAAGCGAACAATTTTGTCTGTGAGCAGAGAGAGAAAAAGATAGAGGGGGG